AAGAAAAAAAAGAATACTTCATGTGTCTGATGGTGATAGGTGCAATAAAGGGAAAAATAAAGCAAAATAAGGAGACAGAAAGTGTCACTGGTGATGTCAGGAAGGGCTTCTCTAAGGAGGTGACATCTGAGGAAAGACCTAAAGGAGGGACAATGAGCCACACTGACAGTGGAGGAAAGAGTAATATATAATACTTTATAACTATATGTACTATTCAAATATATCATGTGTTATATGATGTATATGATTTATATTAAAATCATAATGTTTCAAACTATACATATTATGTTATACTAGAGGCCTGTACAAGATTTGTGCCTGCACCCCCTCAGGGGATGTCTGCCTCCTGGCTTAGGCCCGATCCCCCTCTGAGGATTGGGCCTAAGCCAGCAGTCAAACATCCCTCTCGCAATCCGGGACCGCTGTCTCAAACTGCTATCCTATCTGCCTGCCTGAACTCCTCTAACCACTCTGCCTGCCTGCCTGATCGCCCCTAACCCCTCTGCCTGCCTGCCTGATTGCCCCTAACCGCTCTCCTGCGGCACTCCCCCTGTGGGAGCACACTGACCACCAGGAGCAGCTCCTGTGTCGAGCCTCTGCCCCGTGGTGGTCAGTGCGCATCATAGTGACTGGTCATTCCACCATTCGGTCGATTTACATATTACACCTTTATTATATAGGATATGCTATTTGTACATGTTATACATATATGTTATATATATATGTTATATATATACATATATATGTATATATATATATGTAATGTCATATATATATGACATTACAAAAATTCTTTTTTTTGTTGTTAATCTTCAGCTGAGGATACTTTTCCATGGATTTTTAGAGAGAGTGGGAGAGGGAGAGACAGAGAGAAACATCAATGTGAGACATATATATTGGTTGCCTCCTGCATGATGGAGCCTGCAACAAAGGTATATGCCCTTGACCAGAATCAAACCCAGGACCCTCTAGTCCATGGTCCGATGCTCTATCCACTGGGTCAAATCAGCTAGGGCACAAAAGTATTTCTTTTTAAAATATTTTTTTTATTGATTTCAGAGAGGAAGGGAGAGGGAGAGATAGAAACATCAATGATACGAGAATCATTGATCAGCTGCCTCCTGCACACCCCACACTGGGGATGGAGCCCACAACCCGGGTATGTGCCCTTGACTGGAATCGAACCTGGGACCCTTTAGTCTGCAGGCCAACACTCTATCCACTGAACCAAACCAGCTAGTGCCACAAAAGTATTTCTTAATGTTCCCTCCCACTATCCTAAAATGAAATTCATACATAATTCATCCCATAATTAAAAATAACATAATGCCCTAACTTTATTATTTTATATATTACATAAAAACATCTGTTCTACATTATATAAAAAATATAAATCTAACACATGATACATTAACATATACCATATAAATATAGATGTTATAAGATATATAATAGACATATAAAATGCACGTTATAAACTTTTGATATAATAGAGCAATAATATATTTTTAAATAGAAATACTTAACATAAAGGAGAAATAAAAGGGAACTTATAATAAAATAACATGTATTTCAAAATGGAAAGGCTTGAGCATAAACATATACATGTTTATAATGAATAAGAACTTATACCGTTTTTCCAAGCACTGGACACATCTTAATTCACTTAACTCTCACCAGAACGATATGTGGTAAAAAGTATCATTATCCCCTCTTTACAGATGAGAAATCTGAGGCCTAGAAACATTGGGTGATTTACTCAAGGTCCCAAAGCTTGATGCCCTTACCTACACTTGTAGGTGCTCAGCAAATGTTTGTCAAGTAAATAAAGAAAGGCTTGTGGTTGGCATTCTCTCTTTCTGTCTCTCTGGAGCACACCAGGCATTTTCCCCCTCTTCTTCTCTCAGGGTGCTCTCTCTCTCTCCTAAGCTCCAAGAGCCCTTCTTTTGCCTCTATAATTTGTGTCCTGAGCCCCCACAGCCCAGATGGCTCACTTTTTCTACCTCTGTGACTTTCTTTTACTTTATTTATCTTTTTTTTAAATCCTCATCCAAGAGGCAGGGGGAAAGAGAGAGGATATTGATGTCAGAAACATCCATCAGTTGCCTTCCATACATGCCCTGACCAAGGATCGAACCCGCAACCCAGGTATGTGCCCTGACCAGGAATTGAACTGGCAACCTTTTGGTGCACGGGATGATGCTCCAACCAGCTGAACTACCCAGGCAGGCTCTGTGACTTCCCAAATAAACTTTCACTTGTAGTTGGAAAACAAATGGCTTATGGTCTCCAGATCTTTTTGTTTAGACAGCAGCCCTTCAGCTTAGGCATCCCTACCTGGAACCCTGAGGGGTTAGTGGCTCATTCAGAGGACGGTTGGAGGGAGCCTCATGCTGTCTGTAGCCTCCAGACAAATCCTGGATACTGTGGTAGTACCTTGAGGGCATTAGGGTATAGAGCAAGGGGATAAGGGTCAGCCATGTATAAGACTCTAGTGTCTGGGCATGTGTCCTCCCCACACACCCCCACCAACCCACCCCAGGCCAGGCTCACTGTCGGCAGTTGGTACTCATGTCAACACAGACTGTGGGGACCTTAGAGGAACAATGCTGGTGGAACTTGTAGCCACAGGTTTGGCAGCGGAAGCCATGGAACAGAAACTTAAGGCAGAAGTCACAGAACACCAGGCTGAAGAATGTTTTCCGTACCTGTTGCCACAGAGCAGGGAAGGTTGAGGCCTGGTCAAGGACCCCCCTACACACACACCCAGGGTCTGCCCCCACTATCCACCCTGCACTCACAAAATTGTGCATAGTCAGTGGGACATCTTCAAGGACCTCAACAATGAGCTCCTCGCCATCCAGGGGGGCAATGGCTGTGTCCCAGGCAGTGACTGTCTTTCTCCTGCAGGAGGCAAGGAAGGGAGTGAGTAGGAGGGTGGACAAGGGCTCTGGGAAGGCAAGGAATCCCTGAAAGTCCCCAAGTCGGATCTGTAGAGTAATACCTGGCATGTTCCATTCTTATCACAGCAACCCTAGAGACTAGTTACTATCATTGCCCCACTTCGCAAATGGGGAAGCTGAGGCTCAGAGGGATAAAGTGGCTTCTTGCCTAATGCCTCAGAGATTTGAGTGGCAGGACAGTGTGACGAGTCCATGTTCTCACTCATAAGGTGATGAGCAAATGAGATGCTGAATTAACAACTAAGTCTCAGAAGTGCTAAGCAAGCCTCTGAAAAAAAACGGCTGATGAGGCATCGAAACAACAAATAAAAAGCAATGTGTGAATTGAGTAAAAAATTAAGGAACCCCAGAATAAATGACTCAGCAGACAGAATATGGGAAAGCAGAGGTAGGAGAGAGCTGACAAATCAATGAAATAGCGAAAGAACAAAATAAATGAACAAAATAGATGGAGCAGGTGAAGACTTGTTGGGGAACAAGCAGAGAGTGTGTTGCTGACCTTACAGGCCAATGAACTAATGAAGTAATGAAACACAAGCTGGTTGGACTCACGGATTCACTGAACTAAGGGAAGGCTAATGGAGACTCTACAACAGAGTGAAGAAGGAGTCAGATGACTCTGAGGAGGAGATAGGAGACTGGGCAGCCAGAGGGCAGTGTGTGTGTTTGCCACACTTACCCTTTGATGAGCCGGTAGACCACGCAACAATCCTGATTGAGACCCCGCACCTTGAGAGCCTTGTCTAGAGAGTCGTAGACACTCATGCCATCCCGGACAGTCACCTGTGTAAATG